AAAACATGCGGGTGGGACATTTTTCTTGTAATTATTGCTTTCTTTCATCATGATATCCATGCTTAGACTAGTTAATTACTAAATTGATCGTTATTTCCGCATTTATGGGCTATCTGTAATAATTGAGTATTGTTTCCGAAGTTGAGGTTGGTATTGTGGAACCGTTGTTGACGTAAGGTTTGTTCTTGTTTATTCTATCTCCCTGTTGTTATATGTTCATTGTTACATGGCAGCGGAGAGTATTAAAGCACGAAGGGTGATGTCGTGCTGTATTTGAGAGTTAAAGCACGAAGGGTGATGCCATGCCATATTTATTGATTCATGATGAAATTGAGAGTAAAGGCACAAAGGGTGATGTCATGCCGTATTTATCATATTATGGAGAGTTGAGAGTAAAAGCACGAAGGATGATGTCGTACCGTTACTACTGTTTCATGGTGAGACTGAGAGTAAAAGCACGAAGGGTGATGTCATGCAGTTTTATTCATTATGTTTATTCGTTTTGTTGGTTGAAGGTTTATTGACTGTTTCTTATTATCATTCCCTGTTGTAGTTATCGTATCTTGCACTCCCTTTCGCATGCCCCCTCCTAATAGTACATGTTGATTCTTTTTTTTTGGTTATGTTGTACGTATACCTTCGTCTGTACATGTTTAATTACGTAGGTGTCCTGTCATATACTCGTCACTATCTCGTCGGGGTTAGGCTCGACACTTACGGAGTACATTGGATCAGTTGTACTCATACTACACTCTGCACTTCTTGTGCAGATTTTGGTACTGCTGTCTGTGAGACGTATCAGCTCGGATTTGACATTTGGAGACTCGAGGTAGATCTGCTGGCGTCCGCAGACCTTGAAGTCCCCTTCACATTTTTTCTTATTTTATTCTTCATCTTGTTCGAGACAGCTGTATTTATTTCAGACTCTATATGTAGAACCTCTAGAAGATCGTGTACTTGTGACTCCAGATCCGGGTTGTACTAGAATTTGATTATTACGCTATTTCGTATTTTATTTTGGACTTCATTTCGGTTTAATTGGTTAAATTGTTTAAGTGGTTAAAATTTGGTAAAGAATTACTCTAACGTTGGCTTGCCTAGCAAGTGAAATGTTAGGCGTCATCACGATCCAAAAGGGGATAATGACCAGTTTGATCGAGAGGAATACAAGATAAACCTATTTGGTGTTACTTCTTGTCATGACATTAATTTTTTATTTTTATTTTTTGGTTTTTTGGTGTATTCGGTTTTTTTATTACTAAATTTAAGTATAACATACTTATTCATTTTTATGTAAGTCCTCGATCTTAGCAGGTAAGTTTATTTTTTTTCAATGAACATTTGGTTGATGAATGAAAAAATGTAAAGAGTCAAATCGTATAATTTTTGAACTGCGCATGAATGATACTTTATTACTATGATGATCTTGCTATGATTGTCCATTCGTATACTTAGGAATGTATATAGGTAGTGTTGGTTCGGATTTTTTAATTACCAAATCAAATTAATAGTGTCAGATTTTTAAATCTATAAATCAAACCAAACCAACCAAGTCTGAGATTTTCAATCTCGAGTTTTTCGAATTTTCGGGTTCTTTTTCCGGTAACGTTTTCATAGCCCCTCGAACTAAATTGAGAAATTTTCACAAACCACTATTATTTAGTGGTTGTTAGCTTGCTATAGCTATCATTTATAAATTACTTCCTATAGATATGTTTTCAGTTGTTATAGACTGTATTCGATGTATTTTTGCTACTGTATTCATGAATACAGTAGCAAAAGTTGGCGGAAAACAGGGGAGTCCAACTAAGCAAAGAATGTATTCGACTATATTCGCGAGATGTATTCGTGAATACAGTAATGTAAATCTGCGGAAAAAGGATCCTTTCAGCTGTTTAAAAACGGTAAGTGAATCAATTAACGCGATAGACTCCTAATATAACCCAACTAACTCAATTATAACACGCATAATTTGTATTTTCAGTTATAGAATATTCTCAGCCGAAAAATACCCCAAAATAGAACAATCTCTAGAGATTCAATTCTGCCTTTCTTTGTTGCTTTCGTTCGTGGAAGTTCTGTTTACTAAATAAAATTCGAAATTCATACAAATATATACAACAATCGGTAATTCGATTTTACATATGGCAAGTTTAACCGTACATACTGTAGATATATTTGAATACATATGAATACAAACTGCAGTACATATACACTACAATCTGCTAAATACATATGAATACACAATGCTTAATATATAGTGAAATACATATGATACATACGGTAGATATATTTGAATACATATGAATACAAACTTCAGTACATATACACTACAATCTGCTGAATACATATATGAATACATAATGTTTAAATATATAGTGAAATATATATGAATACATACTGTAGATATATTTGAATACATATATACATCTGATGAATATATTCCATAGTTTACTAAAAGATTATTTTTAGTAAACTGCTGAATACATACTGCATATATATTTTGAACACATACTGCAAATATATATATATATATATATATATATATATATATATATATATATATTCAAGTTCTAATAAATATTAACATTTTTTTTACAGATTGTTGACAAATACATCAAAGATGCAAAACTTCTTATTGCAACACAAGAGCCCAACGAGATTGCTTCGGCCGTTAACCTTCTCGACGCTGCACTTTCTCTGTCCCCTCGTTTTGAGTGAGCACTCGAGTTAAAAGCTCGATCTTTACTCTATGTTACAAGACTATATACAGAAAGTAGGCGAGAGAAAAATATTCCACAGCGTATTTAAAGGTTTAAAGGTAGCAAGTAACCATAAATAAATATTTTGTTATAAAACCTAAAAGGTAACTATAGAAAATAATTTTTTTAAAAGATATTTATTTATAATAAATAAGGTGTAAAAATTTGCTATAGGAGGTAAAATTTCCAACTAAATTATAAATGGCCCATTATCATGATTTCACATGTCAATTTTTAAGATTTACTCTGTACCACCAAGGTACCATTAGAGTATCTCCATACCTTATATGTAGTTTATTTTCCTTTTTAGCTATTAATGTGTGAATATGAAGATAAGAACAACCTCCTATATCTCAAGGACACTACTAGTATCATAATAGGTTACAACTTCATCTTGCACCACCATATAGGTACAGATTTCAAATCTCACAAAATGTTTTCTCGGTGGTCGATGGAGTTTTTGGGCTGTGGATCTAACCAAACCTAATATTCTTGACACATTTTGAATATATATATATATATATGTAAGAAACTATGAAAATCTCAACGTGTATCAAGATCTGAACCATAAATTTAAAAGTATAAAGAATTCAGCGCTCAAAACCTTTAACGTTAAACTCATCAAATTTAAATTTTGGGTTCACTTTTGGTTTTACCTGCTTCTTTGCACATAGTAGCGGAGCCATATGCATTTAATTCACCGAAACATTACACTATATAGCTATGTGAAAAAATATTTTTATGTAATATACTATATATTGACTTTTTTGTGAATTTACTTTTTATATTTTGATCCCCTTAATGAAAATTCTGACTTCGCCACAGTTTGCGAGTTCCTCCTCTTAAATAAAACACCTACTTTCCGAGGTTAGAAGCCATATTGCTATCTACTTACGCACACAATCGTGAATAACGATTGCTTTAGATATTATTTATGAGTTGCTTTCCAAATGTTCCTATAGAGAACCAATCAAGGATTTCATCACAAGAATAATAAATGTCTCAATCATATCAAGTACCTACCTTTTCAATATTATCTTAGAATTGGACATAAAAGACAATAAATATCGTTTTCTAGTTGTTGCCTTAATTATTCACAAGACAAGCAAATCAAAGCACAGCACAAGTGACAAAAAGACATCATATAAGAAGCAATTCTTTGGGCACTAATTTATACTCTTCTTATAGTGCTTTGCTTGCCATATTCCACTACAACAATGCTTCTTGTTTGTCATTGCTACCTGATGTGGAATATATGCTTTTCTTTTTTAAGCACTTTATGTCGGGTTAACTTGCACATACCTCGACTGTTTTACCAAATACCTGCTTTATTTTTACTAACATTAGTACCGAATAAATATGCCACTAGGGCTTTGATATATGGGAAGAATTCACTTAGCGTTTTGTTTTTGCCGTGATTTGAACTCTAATTTTTCATGATTTTCACTCACTTCATTGACCGTCAGATAACTCTTATGTGCGGAATATGTGCTCTTCCATATGAAAAGGGGATGGGATAAGGAAACCTGCTTTATCTTACTGCCCTGCCCTTGCTAATTACTATGTTGAACTGAAGATAGGAATTTAACCAAAAAATATAAAGCATGATATTGCCCAAATTAGCTCATATTTGATGCCTTCCACACTTCTGTTTATCCTTTATAGGCAAGGGCCCCTTACAGATTATAAGGGGTTGGCGACCCTTTACCCTCATGAGCTAGTTTTTGAGGTTGGAGTTAGGCAGATCCGTGATTAAGTGGTATTAGTGGCGGCCTCATCTCGTCCCGAGCTAGTGCCGCAGTTCACCTGATAGCCGGACAACAGCAAAGGTGCTGCCTATTCGGGTGGGTGAGGGCGGGAAAGCCCTCCGACATCAGACAAGAGAAGGAGGCTGAGGCACCTTATAAATGATCTGCAACTCTTCACCTCATGAGTTAGTTTTTGCGATCAAAGTTAAGAGGAACCTTGACTATATGCTTAGGAAGAAAAGACCTATATGATCTATCATTCACATGCATTCACCAAAACAAACTCTAAGAATTGAAAGTAGATAAATAAGACTGCTAGAGCAAAAGACCATAATATCCACACCTAAACTGCAATAGCTTCTTAAGCCCAAGGATATAGCCTTTTGCTGCAGATATCCTATTTTCTTCTTCTCACCACCTATCGACATGGGCTTTTCGGGTTGGGGAAAGCCGGAAAGACAAGGGGCTTAGGATGGGGGATAGATTAAAGGAATATAACTTCCCTTGGCATTGTAACAAATCTAAACCTCCAAAAGTACTAAGATTTTTCGACAAGGAGTCATGCTTGATGAGGAAATATTCTTACAATCAGGAAAATTGAATCTTGAAGCATACCTCTTCCTAATCCTGGCTTCATGTTTTACCCTCCAAATACCAAATAGCCCCCCAATGAACCATAACTTTGGCCCCATCCTTACTTCAAAACTTAAACAAGCAAAATATGTACAGTAACAATGCGAGGCCAATCAATAACAGAGTAAGCAGAAGCTGTCGATGATTGTGATAATCTTTGCTAAAAGGTTCCGATAGATTTCATGCATTAGCCGATTGCGATGGCAATGTCGGATGATTATGTTCACCTTCATATGTTACGATAAGCATTGAAGGGTCTTCCAAGCATCTCTCCACATGTTTCCTCGCAGGACATCCTCTCATGCTACTGCATTTATAGTATCCCCTGCACGAGCAAAGGAACATGTTTAGTCTACTGTAAAATGCATTTAACTTGCTCAAAATTGACGCAACATCAGTTGTTTTGCCTCCAAGCATTGCATAACTTGAAAGAGGCACCAGTGCATCACAGATCCTTGAAAGGAAAATCAAAGACTACATATATCAGCAAATTGATTTGTGCAATCCATTTAGTAACATTTGATTGAAAATGGGACAATGTCAAAGTCAAGCACAACATTTTCCGTTTCAATTGACAAAGAATAAAAGAAAGTTAATTGAGTAAATCGTTATGCAGCCTCCACGTCTGTACACTCAAGGAGTTGGTGAAAACAGAAAACGAATTAAACTGGACAACATCAGTGAACTGTTTGACATAACAAACTGGAGCACCCTCTAGCTTATTTCTAAGAAAGAGTTAAGCCGTGCAACAGACGCATAAGTATAATGTACATGATAGACAAAGTTAAGCTGAGAAAACTCTCTTTGAATCACCAATTGTATGATCAAGATACAAATTCACAGACACGTGTTAAAATTAAGCAGCATCTAAACAGGAAAACCTGAATAGTACCTAGGGTGTGGAGAACCTTTGATCGGCTTCTGTCCATACTTTCTCCAAGAATATTCATCGGCAGGAATATCGGCTAGCTTGTTACTTATAGCAGGAACCTTGATTGATCTCTTTACCCTATGTTTCCTAGAAAAAGACAATTCCAAAAGTTATTAAGCAATTAAAAGATTACAGGATCAAAAGAGGGAAAAACAAAGCAGGATAAAATACAAACCTCTTCTTTGAACAATGACATCTCCCACTGCTTCCACATTTCACGCTTCCCTCGTCTCCCCTTGCGGAGCACCTTCTCTTATGTTGGAACGAGCTCTGATCCGCAGAGCGAGAAGCTCCAATTAAATGAAAGCTACTACCATCCAAATTAGCAATGCTACCGTCCACACTCAGTGAAGAGATAAACGACCTAGTCGAAGACATGGTCGGAGTACATATCGAGCTATCAAAATTTAGACTAATGCCACTATTGCTGCGCCTGTACATCATCTCCGCCGGCTGTTTCAATTGCTGCTGCTGAAGTAGAAACCGCCGTTGTTGTTGTTGCTGCTGCTGTTGAAGATAGTTATAGCTCGGCAAAGGCGTCTGTTGGCCAAAATTAAGGGGATTTCTACTATTTGAACTTAATTCTAGTGAAGAGCTACCCAAAGTTAGATTGCATTTCACATTAGAACCAATCTCTAGGACTCGATTTTCACGATAGTCGATAGGAAGTAACCGAAGATGTTTGTGCTGATCATCAATTTTGCAACTTGGGTTTTCCACAAGGATGTTATGAGGTAAAGGGGTCTTAAATTTGTTCATTTTCCTCACTCTTGCATGACCTAAAGTTGAATTCAAAAGAGTGACAACTTTCTTGAATTTGTGTACAGCTTCTCCAGTTTCTCTAACTAATAAATTCCCATACTGATTCTGATCATGGGGCTTAGATAAAAGACTAATAACTCTATGACAATTCTCAATTGCAGCCTTGTTAGCTTCTTCTATTTCCTCCATTGTACCACTCTCAACCCCAAAATACATAAAAATGAAAGAAAAAAAAATGGAACTTTAATTCCTAATATCAAAGTACTTGACCCAAAAACACAAGAAAAACTACAACCCCCTACAAAAATCGCTACCTATGCTGGTCGGAGGTAGCAGATACCCCATTAATTTAGTTAAGGTGTGCAAGCTGGCCCGAACACCACGGTTATTGAAAAAATTAAGAAACAGAATTTCAATCAACCAGAAAATTATGAGAAAAAGAAAAAGAAGGAAAACAGAAGCAATAGACACCCATTTGCAAGAAAAAAATTGGTTCTTTTTATTGAAATTTCAAGAAACTAAACTCAAAAAGAAACCATGCTCACAATACCAGCTAGGAAATCAAGATTGAACTATAGGAATGAAATTAACAGAAAATAAAACATACCCAGATGAGAAAATCAGCATAAAAGCAGCAACAATAGCATTTAATAAGAAAAAAAAGCAATAAAGATTGGATCTTTACACTTATTATTGTGTAGTGTCAAACTCAAACCCTAGATTCTTCAATTTTCATAGGGGTTATGATGAGAAAAAAAAGAGTGTTTTTTGGGGGGTGTGAAAGAGGAGACTTTTTTGCTCAGCTAGAGAAAAGAAAAAAATACACGTCCAAAAGTGTAGAAAGCTGCAATCTTTAATATTTATTCATGTATTATGATTGTTTATTTTCAGAAAAAATACAATAGATTAGAGAGAGAATCACACAGAACAATAGTCATTACTCATTAGTCAAGTACTGGTACTGAGTACTTCAAGATTGAGAGAGAGAGAATCTCATATTGATTTTTAATTTTCTTCTGATTATTTGATATTTTGGGTCTTATATTGTTACTATGTTTTTTTCGAGTCGAAGGTTTGTCAGAAACAATATTTTTATCTTCACAAGCAAGGTATAAGGTCTGCGTACACATTATTCTTTCCGGACATCAATTATGATATTACACTGAAATTGTTGTTGTTAGTATATTTGATTTTTAGGATCGAGTTCTATACATTGACCGTCTCAAAAAAATTTATATTATTAAATAATTTAAAAAGTAATTATAGGTCATTTTATTTAATATTTGAAATGATTGATGACCGAAAAATAAATANTTTACCTTTTTATTTTGGTCCAAAAAGGTGCCCATTAACTAATCAAAAAGGAATTAATTTTAATTTTTAAAAAAATTTGTCCTTATTTACACATTTCAATGTGTCAATGTAATAATTAATTAAGGTTAATTTAGTAAATATATTTTTTTTCTCTAGGAGTTTGTATTTTTTTAATGGGTAAGTCAAAGATAAAATTGTCATGGATCGAATGGAGTAGTAGCAAGTATTCTAGAGTATAAAATATTATATAGCATAAAATTCTCAACAAATTGTCAATTATATAACTTACTAATTATTTTGGACTATGAGTATATTAATTGTCAATTATTTGTAATAAAAGACCTGAGAAAAACAAAGGACCAAACGAAACTGCTGTCTCTGTCATAGACTCACAGATTTCAAAGTGGGTCCCACTTTTGAGACCTTTGTTATTCATTCTCTTTTGTTTATTTAATTGTTTATTTTTGTTTTGTATTTTTCTATGTCCACACTTGTTTTTTACTACTTCCAAAAATGTATGGTAACTTGTCGTTTTGCTTAGAAGGGCATCTTACTTTGTTTGAACAATTCTTGAGAAGAATATTTTAGAAATATTTGGGAGTAATTTTACGAATAATCAATGAACTTCTAATTAATTATACTAAATTTTATTGAACTACTTTTTTCATAAAAAAAATAACTTAGTACACTTATACTCAGGGGCGGATGCACAAGGTGGAAGCGGTCTCTTCGCAGAGAAAAATATTAAATATTTATATTATTATTCGGCAAAGGTGAAGCAATATATAATAATGACATTACTTATTCTTAGCAAAGGCCAAAGAGTACTTCTTAGAGTCTGTTTGGATGGGTTTAAAAGCTGGTCAAACCAATTTTTAAACTCTTTTTAACTCCCGGAAGTGTTTGGCAACTAGACAAATGGCTTAAAAAAAACTAAAATCTGCTTTAAAAAAGCCAAAATCAACAAGTTGGGTAAACCCAACTTTTTCTAAATTGGCTTAAAAGCCATATTGCTTTGACCAAGGATATTACATTCTTATTCCTTATCATTTTTCTTAATCTCGAAATTATCCCTCAGTACAAAACTTGAAATTGCTGCTGTCTTCTTCCTCCCGAAATTGCAGCATCTACTTTCTTCATTTTACTTTTTTTCTTTCCCATTCTTCTCCAGATTAACGATTTGTTTGCTCCCATTTTTTGTTTTTTACTAATTTTCTTTAAAATATTAATTATTATTTTTGTTTGCTTTCTTCATACTGAAATTGTTCGTTTGCTTTCTTCATACTACTTTTAGTTTTATAAATTGAAAGTGAATTAAAAAATTTAATTATTATGTATTTATATTATTAAAAAAAATATTATAGTAATAAGCTTCTTTATAGGTTTAATAGCTTTAAGGATATTTCAGTAATTTTAAAAGAAAAAATGCTTACTAACACTTGTTTACCAAGCACTTCAATAGATTTTTTTCAGCTCCAGCACTTTTAGCCAAACACGTAACTGCTTATTTATAAAACCAGATTCAACACTTAAAAAGTACTTTTAAGCACCTGTATTTAAAAGCTGTTTTTTTTAAGCCAATCCAAACGGGCTCTTAGTCTACTGGTCAAGCTCATATTTGGGCTTGTAAAGACTAGGTTCAAGGCTGGAATGAGCATTCATTAAAATATTTTGAACATCCTTGAACGAGCATTCGTTAAAATTTGAGCTAAAGAGAATTGAACATACACTTCCCTCTGCAATAATATTCAATGAACCATTGGCCAAGGCTTTCAATTTATAGGAAAATAATATTAGATAATACTTATTTATTTATTACTCCCTTCGGTCTACAATAAGTGACCAATTTGCCTTGGGCATACCCATTAAGGAAAGGAATTTTTACATTCCTATGCCACATAGGAAACCTTATTACCCTCAATGTTTAAGGTTTGACTTAATTACACTTAATATACCAAATTACCAATTCTATATCATAGATTAAACTATTAACCTTTTTAATCAACAAATGCCCGTTGCACGAGCCAATTCAATTCTAATTAATGGCCACGCCGATGTTAAATGTACTTTTGAAAAGCAATCTAGTTACTTTTCACAATATATTTCTGCTATATCCTTATTCGTGCTCGTGTATGGCACACGCACAAAGATTTTTTATGCCAGAAAATATTCTAATTTAAATCTACTTGGAGGAAGATAGTGTCACCCAACTGTATTGCCTTACATCTTTACTTTTGGAAAGACCATAAACATGAATAAACATGAATATGCAATCTGATTATTACACATACATACATATACATATATATATATATATATATATATATATGTGTGTGTGTGTGTGTGTGTGTGTGTGTGTGTGTAATAATCTACAATTCATCTACCATAAACATGAATAAACATGAAGATTTTGTAGAAGTTTTAGTCGTTTTGGATTTGTGAAAACAGAAAACAATGCATCTACAATTAGAATACAAATAATCTACAATTCATCTACAAAATATCTACAAACTAGGTATATTGAATTTTAATATCCCAATTCCCATTCGATTGTAGTTTAATTGGGATTTTCGACATAATTGCATTTTTTGCAGAAGATTTGTAGAAGTTTTAGTCGTTTTGGATTAGTGAAAACAGAAAACAATGCATCTACAATCAGAATACAAATAATCTACAATTCATCTACAAAATATCTACAAACTGGCTGGGTACATTGAATTTTTATATCCCAATTCCCATTCGATTGTAGTTTAATTGGAATTTTCGACATAATTGCATTTTTTGCAGAAGATTTGTAGAAGTTTTAGCCGTTTTTGATTTGTGAAAACAGAAAACAAAGCATCTACAATTAGAATACAAATAATCTACAATTTATCTACAAAATATCTACAAACTGGCTGGGTACATTGAATTTTTATATCCCAATTCCCATTCAATTGTAGCATAATTGGGATTTTTGACATAATTGCATTTTTTCAGAAGATTTGTAGAAGTTTTAGCCGTTTTTTATTTGTGAAAACAGAAAATAAAGCATCTACAATCAGAATACAAATAATCTATAATTTATCTACAATTTCTGCAATATGTCTTCTTCCTCTTCTTCTTCGAGTTTCAATCTGAAATTCAGTCAAAACCAAGTCTAATCTTCACCAAAACCCCTCAAAATTGAGATATAAACTCCAACCATATTCCCGATTATTTTCAACAACACCCAATCCAAACAAATAATGATTTTTGAAAACCCAAATTTGAATTCAAAGCTTTCAAGCTTTTTAATGGCTGTCAATGGTGGAATTGCTGCTCTCTTTTCATTTGCTTTGTATTATTGAAATTTGCGATTGAGAAATAGAGAGAGATGTAGAGAGAATGTTACTTTTACAAATGATGAAGATATAAATAAAGTTAACTGTTCTGAGATGCTGATTGTAATGTTCAGTTTCATAAAGTCAATATAACGTAATTGTTCAGTATCTTTTCCTTTCCTTTAACGTTCAGCTTCATAAAGTCAATAAAGAAAAAATAAAACAGGGATGAAGGGCATCTACGGCAATTCGATGGTGCACGGAATCTTTACCAGTCAAAAGCAAAAACTGGTAAGGAATTAGGAAGAAATCAGCTCCTAATAATTAGTATTTAATGAATGGTATAATAATTGTAGAAAAACTGTGAACATGGCGGGTAAATATGAAACTATGCACATTTTTGGTAATTAGGTTTCATATATGGTATAGGAAGGAAAAAATCTCAGAATTACTAAATCTTAGTTAATGTGACTAAACTACCTCTAATTAAATGTTGCAACATAATTTAATGTGATGAGTAAAAGACTTTTTGGGGATGCGTACATAAGAGTAATTTTGGAAAAATAGATTGAAGTTTTTCTTGATTATAAAAATGGACACTTATCTTGAACCAAATAAAAAGGCAAATTGGTTACTTAATGTGGACCGGGGGGTATTATTTATGTAAATACGACACTGCTTACAAAAAATTCTGCGTACGACCCTGCATATACTTCATAGAAAATGAAAAGACATCAAAATTTAGCACTCAACATTATATTGAGTTATTATGCCAAATTATAAAGGTAGAACATCATTATAACACTCAACATTTTGTGATTCATCACAAAGTATAATCGGTATAATTTAGTGAAAAATAAAAGAAGAAGGAGGAGGAGGAGGGGGGGGGGGGTTTAAATACGTTTATAGGGACGAAGCTAGAAAGTTAGTCATGAGTTTGCTGAACTCAATAGCTTTAATTCAATTCATATGTACTTGTATTAAAAAATTTACTAAATGTATAGAGAAATTAAAATCACAAGTCAGTTACTAACACGTTAAGTTGCTACTCTAATATAGAACTCATAAAGTTCAAATCATAGTTATGTCTCTTTATGTTGATATCTAACATAAAAATAGTTTTACTACGATATATCATGTTAAGAATATAGATAATTTATATAGTCGGCTCAATTTATATTGATTATTTGATTAATATCTAGTCGTTTTTTTTCATATAATTAATATATAGTTGATCAATTTGGTGCTAACTTGCTATTTAGAAACCTCTCAATTTCCATAATCTTCGTAAACTTCCTTTAGACTATTTCGTTCCCCAGTAATCCTAATCGTAATATGGTAAATAT